TAAAGTGCTTGAAGCAATTCCTTTTTCCTCCTATTTTTCCAGAGAGGGGTGTATTCATTAAGTATGTATAACTTCCGAAAATGTTCATTTCATCTGTGTTAGACTTCAGGAAAGAAACTCTGAATAGGGTGACCTTGAAGCTATATTTAATGTTGAGCGGGGGCTTAAGTCCCATTGACTGCACTGGAACCGAAGCCCCTCCTGTCTTATGTGCAGACACTTGAGTGGAGGACAGCCTCGATCTCCTGAAATGCGACAAAATTTGACATAGGCCACCTGTTGCTAAGTTTATCAAACAGGTACCTCTAGCAACTACATCTGGAAATCTTCAAGACTAACATCATTGACAGTTATCACGGCCAGCTGATCCAGCACCCGGCACGTTGCCATGCTCTCTGACCAAACGTCGCATTGCTTTTTCTCCCCCGGCAGCAGCATGGCAGGATTTCTCATGAGGACAGTGAACAAGGATGTATGTTTGTCACGGACATGAATTGGGATGAAAACGTTGTGGCTTTTGTCACATCAGGTATCCTGCTTCTGAATTGTATTGGGTGGAGGGGGTGGTCTGTGAATTTGTATGGGTTTCAGTCTCTGTATATTCAGTGCAGAATAAAGTGGTGTTTGTGGAGGTTTTTTTCAACCACGCAATTTAGGAATGAATGTATCACACACTACTGAAAACAAGACGCTAGTCACTTTTTACAGAAACATGTAGTGTGTCGTGCATGTGTTGTGGTATCCTTTGTGACAGCAGCTTAATTCCCTCCTAGTAGAAAATAAACTTGACTTTATACCAATTCTACTATTGCATGCCAGGGCTTGCCTTTTTATTTTAAGTGAAAATGATGGCTCTTGCATATTTTTGCCATGATAACTCCCAATTTTACCATAAGATCGAACCGCTGTTAGCATCAGATCAGTTGATGAAACACCTTTCGGGTGAAGCATTAGGTGCCAGATTCAAAGGCGACTTGATGGTCGTTCCTCCAAGTGCAGCAGGCTTTGGATCACATCCTAGACTGGGAGATGCCTGATGTTCAGGGTGTTGAATAGGGACAGTGCTGGGAGCAAGGAGTCGAGTGACTGGTGTCAAAGGAACTTGTATTATTGCGTTGAGGTTGAGGGAAGAGGGTGTGAAAGCATGGGGACGAGAGGGAAGTGGCGTGGTGGGAGTTGAGGGCAGGACAGGGGGAGAGCCCAAGATGGAGACGGGGCGTAGAGGAAGGAGAGATGAGCAAGCTAAGAAGAGACACGTGCGACTCCGCATCACAGGAGAGGAACGAATGCCTCCAGAAGAGCGGTGTCCGGCAGGAGAGAAATGAATCTGGAGCAGGCTGGAGATAAGAAAATAATTACAGACCAACAGAGTCATTGGTAATGGGTTGTTGGTGTCCGTGGAGGTAGAGCAGGCCCCCTCCCCTTGGATCCCTGTGCCCTCCTGCCTGGGAGGCACTGCCTGGCTCCTGCTCCCAGCCGCGCCTGGGAAAGTGCTGTTTTCGGTGGCCTGTGCACCCTTGCAGCTGACCGCCCCCGCAGAAAGCACAGGTAAGACCTCCACTTGCATGACCTGCAGCTTCTCCAAATGAAAGCAGGGAGCAGGTTCCCGTGTGAAACCCCACCCTGGGGGCTTGTAACCTGACTGAAATATCTATTTCAGGAAAGCATTTGCAGAGCTTTTTTAGCCTGGCAAAGGTCACCTCCTCCACACGCCGGGGTCTTCAGACGCCTGTAATAATTCCTCTTCCCTCAAAAATAGCAAAGCATGCCACCATTGAAATGCAGTCGGAGCTCTTCAGGGCAGCCCTAATCGTACTGCACTCGTTTTTCTTTATACTTCTGCTTAAGGTAAATGAGGCGCCTTCTGCATCGACAGCTACTCAGAATTCATAAGCCAGGATTTTTCACCAGGGACCAGGAATGAAGCACGTTGCACTTTATTCCCTATCTCTCATTCCTCCTCCCTTCAAGCAATCAATACCATTCTCGGCGTGCGCTTCTCTTTAAAGTTGGTTTACAGCTTCCGTGTCAAAATGATGCGAAAACATTCATTTTTCGCGCCTAACTTGCCTAAGCCCGGCTTTCTTCTAAGGGAACCGCTGCTCAGTAAAGAAACTCTTTCCTTTTCCACCGTGGAGTTAAATCACGCGGTGAAACAGAATAATTGACCCCACTGTGAAATTCAGCAACACCTGGCAAATGCCTGGCTGGGCTTATGCTATTCCCAACACCATTTCTTGGCTGTTTGCATGAATGTACCATATCTTTGATTATTTCCCCCCCTAAAATCCTGTCTCCTTCTGCATCTTTTGCCAATAATTCCTTCAAATCTGCCTGGGCTTTCCATTACCTCTTCTTCCGTAGCTGCAGTCCCCCCTCCTGGGCTGTCAGATGAGGACACGGTGCATAGCCGAACACAAATCTCTTGAGAGTATTTTAACCACTTTTATAGGAGCAGGACATCGGCTGCCGTAGTCCTCCCACTTCACCAGTGGCAGGTTTGGGTGGTGTATCTCACAGTTGTGTCAGGGTTGCCAATTTGGGTTTAGATGGGGATGATCCTGCGCCAGGTCACTGGACTAGATGACCTCCGGAGGTCCTTTTCTATGACGCCAGCTGGGAGAGAAGGGCGAAGGGGGAAATGGAGAGCTGTGTCTTCATTTGCACACATGGATTAATCAGAAAGCATTAGATATATCCAAATGGCAGAGCCGGGGAGTTGTTTCACAGCTGACAGAGCTGGATGCTCCCCAGAGCTAAGCTTTGCCTCTGCAAGTGCGTGTCCTGCCTAACTTCAGCATCGTTGCAGAGGTTAAGATCGATGCCGCGGTCAAGCCTTGGGATGGCCTACCTAGGCGAGTGGGGGAATCTCCATCCCTGGAAATTTTTAAGAGCAGGTTGGATTAGACATTGGCTAGGATGGTTTAATCAGGGATGCTCCTGTCCTGAGCAGGGGGCTGGACTAGGTGACCTAGCGAGGTCCCTTCCAGCCTGACTTTCCTACAGTCCTATGGTCTTGCATGTGGATGTACGTGGTTGGATGCTATGTTTATCCACTACTGCCCTCCAACACGCCCATGCATATTTTTTCTCCTTAATTAGAGTGGAAATGAACCTAAAACACCTGTCTTAATAAACTATATGACTTTCTCTCATGATCTAAAATCGAGATATTTTTAGCGCGGGCCTGTGCTGTTTCGTTCTGTATACCTGTCTCATTGTATCAAACCCGTAAGAAAAACTCATACAGAATTTTGACATGTATTTTGTTTGCCATTATCCTGTGTCAGACATTTCATTACAGCTTGGAAACACATAACTAAACAATTTCGAAAGGAAATAGTCTATTTGCAGTCGTCTGCTGGCGGCCTGCAGCCAATACTTCACACCATTTGTCAAGGAGATTTTATACATCTAAGCACCAGGTGCTTTGGGGACAACAAGCACACATCTTTTGAGAAGGCCTACAGGCTGGGAGCACGGTATGGTGCTAGACTGAGGAGAAGAGGACTGATAGCGGCAAAGATCAAGTCTGAATGTCTAGGGAGAGGGAGGCGTGCACATGGCATCACTCGTTTCATGCCAGATCTGCGGGACTTCGTCAGGTTTAGGTGAAAAGGCAGGTGCCTAGATCAAACAGCAGACGTAGATATTTTAAAAGAGATTCAGATTGCCTTCTTCCTTCCCCTCCCTATTCCACCCCCCGATTTACCATGTTATCCTTTGCAGTGCCCAGGCTTGAGCTGATCAAAAGAGAGGTGCAAAAAAAGGTACCCGGCCCAATTTGGCACTTCTCGGTGCTCAAGCTACCCTGTTGTTCCCAGGCAGTGAGAGGGAGAAGAAGGCACGGGATCAAGTCTTTGCTGTTTCTGCTCTGGGGGAGGGATCGGAAACGAGCCACAGATAGGGATGGAGCTGGGTGAGAACACATCCTAGACAAGAGGCTTCATCTGGTCACCTGGCCCAGAGCAAATACTGAGCTGATTATATGTGAGAATATCACTTTCTTGATATGTTCTGGTCTGTATTCCCATCTCACTGCTTTTGGGAAAACTCCTTCAAAATTACTTTCCATGTCTCTTTAAATAACTTTTTCTTCATTATTGTCAGTCTGTCAGTCCCGAGGCTGCACCAATCCTTGGGGCACCTTTGATGCAGCAATAACCTTCATTCTTCTCTGTCTTTTGCAATCCTTGTACAATCAGTCAGTTTTAATCCCATCCAGTCTTTGATGTTGGTGTCCAGCTTGTCCTAGGTTGTCGCTGTCTTCGTCCACACACAGCACACTGCAGGATGGTGTTGGCAAGGGTGCTGGGCCTTCTTGTTACATGGCCAAACCACTGTTTTGTTCTGGATTTTGTGTGTTTACACGTGTTCATCTCCCATTTGCTCTTCATCACACAGTTTTGGGGAGGATTGCGCCTCTTGATTGCGATAAATATCCAAAACAAAGAAAAGTATGTGGGTTTCCTGCACAAAGGGATGTTAAAATAAAAGCAGGACCAAATTCCACTGCGCATGTAATTGCAGTGCTGGCATAGACAGAACGGGTGCATCCTTCCAGCATTGCGAAGATTTGTTTCTATAAAGCTAAACCTTATTGTTATCAGTCTGAGAACTGACGGATTAATTTCTTTGTGTCCTATGCATGGATTCATTATGAATGACATGGTAGTATCGTTATAGAGACACGTTACAGTGAATGATTTCACGCTAACACAGGATGTCACTATATCTCTCTCTCTGAGCAGAGATGACTAGTTTAAAAGGGCATCTTTCATATGAGTAAATGGTTTATTAGGAGGCATGGAATAGACTTTTTGCACAGAAATGGAGCTGAAAGGATAATACCGAGTAATTGCATTGTACAGTGCCTCCAAGTGTTTTTACACGTTCTTCTGCATGGGGGGGAAAAAAGCAGGGCAGCCATTTTCATGCATCAGGTTTGGGGGTATTTAGCAATCATTGCTAATAGGATGATTTTTGTGTGTGTGTTTCAGGATGGAATGGGAAACCTGAGAATCACAGAAAAAGGTCTAAAGCTAGAAGGAGATTCAGAATTCTTGAAGCCCCTCTACGCCAAAGAAATCCGCTCCAGACCTGTAAGTTATCCGGAAAGGAGAAAAAATAATGACATTTCCTTGGTGGAGTACTACCAAATCCATTGATCACAATGGCCGGGCTAGACGCAGGTGATTTGGGGGCTGAGCCCACGGGTTTTCTGTTGCCTGGCTCCCACATGTATTTATGTCAAGTTATATCCAAAGTTTCACAGAAGCTTTTTCTGTTTTTAAAAGTAAATCTCATAGTCGTAAGAAGCCATCATTTCACCATGGGAGCTGAGAAGTGGCTGAAGGTTGTGAGATCAAGCACTGAGAGAGGATTATCCACCTGGTTTGTGCACCCTAACTCGCAATAAACCCTCACTAAGGGCTCAACCCAGTATGATGCCAGGGCAGTGTTTCTCGGCCAGGGTGCTACCATACCCTGGAGTGCCTTGAGATCCTTTTAAGGGTGCTGCAGGGTGCTACACAATGTTAACACCGTTAGGTGTGCAAACACGATTCACCAGATCAAGCCAGAGCTTTCAAATGGGAAGCCACAGCATTAAAAACATTGTCCCGTTGTGGCCTTTCTTAGTTCTTTGCAAGAGAAGACTTGCTCTGTTATTTGTTGAGAAATGAGTGAACAGTAAGAGCTAGCATCTCCAAGGGGCATCTCAGGTCTAACGAGTGCTGCCCTGAGTCTGAAAAAGTTGAGAACCGCTGTAGTAGGGACTCTGATTGTTCTTGATTACGCACACCTAAAACACGGCAGGTTTTTAAATTGCTTAGTGCTAAAACTAAAAGAGGTCTGCCCAGCAAGAGAGGCAACATTTTACGAACATGAAGATGAGCAGGAACCCAAGTGAGATTGAAACAGAATTTTAAAGAAAAGATTTAATGTATTATCAGCTCTTTCTGATCATCCCGATGCAATCTGGTGTGCCCTGAGCAGCTCTACAAAAGCTGAATAGGTTACACAGCCCTTCTGTTTTGTAGTGCTACTTCGAAGGAGAGATCATCTCTTCCGTTTCCTGTTCAGAAGTGTTAATTTGATTCAAATATCAACCTCCCACTTGGATGATGATGGCAGATAGCTAATTAAATAACGTTAACATCCCCTTAGCTAGACGTTTTAGTAGCCTTGCAGAAATTGGAATTTGTGGAGTAATCAACGCAACATCCAATACAATATCCGATTTAATTATTGAAGGTTGTAACCTCTGCAAAATGGCTGCAGATTGATTTGTCAAAGCGGAATCATTTAGGAAGAGAAGTTAATGAGAAAATTTTCATATTTATAAATGTTTTCATCCTGGAATTAATGGAGAGCCTTCGAACCTCGTAACATAATTCACTTTGGTGGATAGAGCACATGAGGGAATACATCGCGTAGTTTGAGAAACTGATTGGAAAAATTGCTCTATTTGTTGTCCCACCATTAGGTTTTGGAAGCGACTTTTTATATGAAGGGAATAAAGAACAACTTGCATTTGTTGCTGCTGGGAAGTTTAATCTTTAGACTGTGATGTAGCCTTCATTTCAGTGTGGTGGAGGGACAAAAAGTTTCTTCCCGTGCTACTTACGGCTGTGTGAATGGTGTGGTTGGTGATTCAATGAATGCAAAGAAGGCGAAACTGGAGGTAAAGCATATCCTGTGCAAGTGTTGCTCGCTCCACTTGTCCTCCCATATCGTAATTAATATCACTGCCATTAGCCGGGTAAGAGACTAGCCATGAATCCAAGTTGCCCGATATACAGCTCAGCTGGAGTGTTTCCAAAGTGCTGTGTGTGTGTGTGTGTGTGTGTCTGTGTCATATATAACACACCAATGTGTACATCTCCACTGACTTCTCACTGAGCCGGCACTGGGCATGGTAATATTGAAATGAAAGTATCTTGATCAAAACAGGCCACCCTTGTAACGTGAGATTTATTAGCAGCTAACAATTATTAACAATTAACAACATAATAAAAAAAAGCTAATTGCCAAATTCAGCTCTCAGTTATACCCCTAACAAATCCTGAGTAATACCATTCCTATGGAGCTAATTAAGATTTTCACTCGTGGAGAATGTAGTTTTAAATGCAAGTGTAAGAGAAAAGACCTTAAAAAAAAGACAAATAATAAAGTGCCAGGAATATGTTAATGTATAATAATTTTCTTTGTGTTTAATTAAACAACCTAAGAGTTGTGTACAGTCTGCTAGCTTAGATAATGACTTTATTTATGGCTCAAAAGGTTTCCAGATGCTGGTTATGTATAATAGATGAAGTTCAGCAAAAGACAGGGGGGTTAATTTGAGATGCATGTAATTTATTAGAATAAAGTTACACAATAAGTACCGCATTGTTTGTTTGTAAAAGAAATTGCAGGGCTGCATTCATCCTTGGCAAAAGTAGCTGCAGTGTCACATGATCTCAACAGACTTGGGCCAATGCTACGTTAGGATATCTTGATGGAGCGCTCCCAATCCTGGCAACTCTGTGGCTAGAGCAAGATGATTGCTATGGGAATCTTTTAGGACTGTGTCTTTGTAAATGAGGATAGTCAGCAGCTCCTTTTCTTCGTGCATGCATCTCCCATTCCAGCATAGGTCAAGAGGAAAAACATGCCCAAACCATTTCTGTAGGAATCTTAGCCCCAGAACTAAAGAGAACTGGGGATCTCTGTTTAAAAGGGGTGTAGCGGGGATGGAGAAAACCCTTGGCTTGGGAAGGGGGGCGTTGGGGTGCTCTGGGAGGCTGGAGCAGCTGCAGCAGTTGCAGAATAAGGGAATTTGGCTTTGGCAACCACGGCCAACATTGGTGCTAAATGGCTCAGTTGAATCTCACCTCCCACAATTGAAGTCCTGCCACTGAAGTTGCGAGCAGGTATCATCTAGAGCAGAGGTCCCCAGACTGTGGTATGTGTACCCCCCAGCAATACGCAAGGTATCCAGGTTGTAGCCATATTGGTCTAGAGGAAAACGCAGTCGGGGCTCATGGTAAAGGTGGTGTCTTTTATTAGACCAGTAAGACTTTTGCAAAAAAAAAATTCTTTTATTGCAAGCTTTGGGGCACAAATACCCTTCATCAAGCATTGGAGAAAAGATGGCAAAAGTCATGCAGGAGAAATCATATACTGACGGATTTAACTTTCTTCATAATACTAATTGGCATTTAAGGGATTAAAATATAAAACATATGCTGGTAGGGGTATGTGGGCAGCTGGTAAAACCAGAAGTGGGTACTCAAGAAGAAAAAAATAGGGAATGTCCAATCCAGAGGTACTGTGGATTCAAGTGGTTCCTCGTGACCTAATAGAGACCTGTTTGTTGGTAAAATATTAGTAGCCTGGTACCGGGCATCACGGCACTGTGAGGAGGTTCAGGCACCGAGAAGTGGGCTGTGGAGGCTTGAACCTGGCTGCAGTGAGGGGTGAATGCTTTAGCCTTGCTTGAAAGAAAAATGATAGATGCACCAGGTTCTCCAGAAGTGAGCAGAGCAGCTTAAACTCCCAGCTGAACATATTGCACACTAAAAGTTATTTTCCATGCCACTTGCATGGAACATGAGCATCTTGCTGCCTTTAATTAAGAAGTTAACTGGACCATGAAGTATTGCCTGAGTAAATAAAAGTGATTTGCACTTAGTCAAGAAGGTGCATTAGGCATCTTTGCATCACTTTTGTTGCACATAAATTATGGAGATTATTAAAAATTGGAAGGGTCATCTCTAAGCCCATCTGCGTGCTGGATTTTTTTTTGTTGCTTTCGGGATGCAACTGTCTTTCTAACCGTCGTAATTTATTGTGGACAATCGTGCGAACCATCTGCTTCCTTATAAATCAGACAGACAAACTTCAACTGAAAGTTGCACGTAACAGCACAATTGTTAATTTTATGTGCTGGAAAGCCATGATAACAGTTTTGCGGTCTTCAATCTGCCTCGTTGTAATTTAAGTAGAATCTTTAAAAGTGAAAATTTCATGCCTCTTTTGAGAAGAGCTATTAACAAGCAGGTTCCTGGAAACTCCCTTAAAGCAAGGTTTTAGTCCTTTTTAATGCAAATGATTTGTTTTGTTTTGATGCTTGCTACTTACCAGGTCCGGAGGCAACATGAAAGGGAGGACCCTTGGGCTGGAGCATGGACGCCTGTGCATTTTCTGTCCCGATAACAGCAGAAATAAAGTAGTGTGCTGAGGTGACACTGTAAAAATGCAGGCTGTATTACTTGAATAACTGCCTGACAGCTAGAGAGATGGTAATCTCGACTCTAAGAAGGAGGAAGAGATATTGGCATGTTGCAAGTTTAGGATTCAAAATCCTTCAGTCAAGAGGCAAAGGCAAGTTAGCGTATGCTATTTTTTAAAATTTGATGGTTGTTTGTTCTTTACTTTTATAACCTATAGATTTCATAGACGTTAGGGCTGGAAGGGACCTTGCAAGATCATCGGATCCAGTCCCCTGCCCAAGGGGCAGGAAGTCAGCGGGGGTCAGCTTCATGTATAGAAAATAATTTCCTGTATAGAAAATGAGGCCCCGATTCTGTGAGCACTTGTGCATGCGCAATCCCATTGAAGGCAATAGTTACTCATGTGAGTAAGGGGAGGGATTGCACGATTGAGCCCCTCGTGTTTTATGAAACTATTCGCCATGGGCCTGTAGTTGTGTCCCTATAGGCAAACAGTGGTGCCAGTGGCCAGCTCCAGGAGCACGGACCCCATTGCAGGACAAAGCTCTCCTCCAGATAAAGATCTGCTCACTTGTCTCTCTTCGATTGCACGCTTGCAGTCCTACCGCAGAATTTGATCCGCCTTTCCAGGCCCCGGGTTGGCCCAGACTCTCAGGTCCATCATGCCGTTCTGTTTCTTCTTTTCCTTTCTGAGATCATGCTTTTAAAATGACTGCGGAGTACTTTGGCAAAAAATAGTCCCAATGTTCGAACGGGAAAGTTTGGTGCCAGATACACCACGGCAGCTTTTAGTTTTATTTTGATGGGGTGCTCCGGGCCCCGATCCTGGAAGCTTTACACGTGTCGAGGATCCTGACATCTGTGCAGAGCGGGGGTGACCTCAG